CTCCCGTGATGAACTATAATCTCACTTTTAGTTTAGTAATTTGTAGGGATGCACCGAAATTTCAGCTGCTAAAACATATTGGCTAAAATGGTCCTTTGGGCAAAATGCCGAAAGTAAAATTTTTTGGGGCTGAAAATGCGGTGCATTCCTAGTTTCTCTCCACCCGACTGGGTGCTGCTCTGTGTTCCCTCTGACGCCGAGCGGGGTGGGTAGGAGAGCACTGTCTGCGGTGGTGTCACAGGACGATGAGCTCTCCTCCCTTCCTCCTGGGACAGGCAGATCAAGATGGAGAGCGGTGGGGAGAGGAGACAGCTGTCACGGGAGGCTGAACCGGCGGAGGGAGGAGTCAGCTGTCAGCCATGTCACAGAAGGCCGAGCCCTCCTCCCCGCAGCTCCCGCTCAGCCTCCTGTGACAGCAAGTCAGGATGGTGAGCGGTTACAAGCACTCAGCGATTAGGACTGATCGCAGAGTGCTTGTAAATAATTGAGGACATAGTATGCTTTCTATTCATTCATAACAGGGGCTCCAGAAAAAGAGATTGAGGACCCTGTGTCCTCAATCTCTTTTTCTATTTCAAAAGAGAAATATCAGGGGTCTGTTTAGATCCCCGATATTTCCCCAGAGCCCTGACATTAAAGGTAAAAATAAAATTACATTTTTTAAATTTATTTAAAGGTCTGACAATTTTTTTAGTTTCAGTTTTGGTCTGAAAATTCCATTTTGGTGCACCTATACTAATTTGTATTGAGATTGTAGTATATAATGGGAACAAACTTGGAGAACCAAGGGGTGTTAGCAGCACCAATTCAGAGATGATTTGAGGATCTACAGCTGAGTGATGTACAAATAAGGTATCTTTTTGTTAATAGTTAAGGTACTTGAATGCATTTTTGACGTTTTTAACTCCTGAGTTTAGTGTGACTTTTAATAGAGCACCTACGGAGACACTTTACTCCAAAGTTGTGAGGCAAGACTGCAGCCAGCACACAGGCTGCTAAACATTGTGGTCAGATTTCATTAGCTGACAGCTGAAGGCCAGAGCTGCAGCCGCACAAACTGATAATATTACATAGGCTACCTGACAGGTTGCTGGCTTTAACAGCATGTTTTTTGAAGCCCAGGTCTAGAGAGACAGAAGCCTCTTAGATTCAGTCACCTGCTGTTACAAGCTTGGAAATCTACATCCTGCAAGATCTACCATCGCACATGGAAGGCTTACTTTGTCTTTTGTTATGCTGGGCACACACCTCACAACCATCGCAAGACTTTTGTCTTGCGATAGTTGTAAAGTAATTTAAAAAACGTACGCTCTGCCTATCTTGGACATCGTACTTGCGATGATCGCAAGCCCACCCCCCTGAGGGGCGGGCTTTCGATTACCTCAATGCTGAAAGGGCAGTGTGCACTTGCGCACACCGGCCCGTCCGGCTTTTATCTTACCAACATGCTACACACCCGCCGAAAATCGTACGATTCTCGGCGGGTGTTTAGCATCGATTCTTGTCGGGTGTGTAGTACGATCGCGGGATTTCCCGCGATTATCGTACGATTACTGTAAGGTGTGTGGGCACCTTTAGGCAAGGAGATATAATTCCAGGAAATGATCTCTGGGACCTTTTTGCAAACAGGCTTAGATTAGCATTAGGCCCTGTGTACCATCAAGGGACAAATCTCAACACTTTCGATCTTATTCCCAAGACCACTTGCCTCCCACTAATTATGACTTTTGTACAGGGTGTCTCGTGTAGCTCCCCCTATATATTCTCCTATAAATCCATGGGATTGGAATCTAGTTCTGTTGGTAATTCAAAAACCACCTTTTGAACCAATCAGGGATATTCAACTATTTACTCTCACAAAGTATGTTGCTTGTTAACATTGTCTCTGCAGGGCTTGTGTCTGAACTGGCAGCTCTGTCTTGTATGAAACCGTTTCTGGTCTTACATATGGATAAGGTGGTGCTAAAACCTAGAGTCTCCTCCTTCCTAAGGTGGTTTCAGCCTCCCATTTAAATGAGAACATTGTTCTTCCATCGCCATGCTCAGCTCCAACACAACAGAAGGAAAATTCCCTTCACTGTCTGGATGTATATAGTTTGTGATGTATTGTTTACTGCTTAGCAACTGTTTCCATAAGAAAATATGACACTTTTTTTTTTTTTTTTCCAATCTCTGATAGTCCACTTAAAGGGGAACTGGATTCTCAGTCCACCATTTCTTGGTGGCTTAAAAAAAGTACTGTTTAGGCTTATTGCCTTAAGGATAAGGTTACACCTTTTCCCATTAAGGCACAGTCTACTAGGTCAGTAAGTGCTTTTGGGCTTTGAGGCATCAGACAACTGTTTCTTATTTCAGCTCTCAAATGAACTTTCATTCCCTCAAATGCCTGGTGCCAGAGCTGATCATATGTGCAGCACCATAGCAACTGCAATCCAAATAGAGGCTAAGATGGCACCTTCCTTGCCTATAAAGAATAGGGGGTGTAGTCCCGCTTCAAGTACTGCTATTGTACAAAACTGCTGGGAAGTGGGAAGGGGTTATACCTGGCTGGCCAGCATTTTTTTGTTTGCTAGTTTCCAAATCCTCCTGTAGGCGGCAGTATAACAATATGTTTCTAAATGCTGATCCTATGTCCATTAATGATCTTCAAGAAACAGATTTTACAGTGAGTACAAAAATCTTGTTTTTCTGTATGATTTCATTATTCATGTTTAAGCTATATAATATAGTTAGCATGGCGTGGGCTGCAGTTATAATGACAGGTCCGTTTCATTTCTGACAAATTGAGAAGATTGAAAGCATTAGCCTACGTTGTAAAATTGTTTGAAGTGAGCTTATCTGCTGGTTGTGTGTCTCAGGATGGCCTACAGTGCTTCTACATTTTCAGAGCTCTTCATGTGGCTGAAAAGCAGTTTTTTTCAATTTATTATATTGCTTCAGAGCATGCTATATTTATGCCTATACAACTATATCATTCTGCGACATTCCATGTGATTCAGCCATAAAAAAAGGCTAATTGTTTTGACAAGGAGTGATACATTCTTGGAAAAATCATTTTGAAAAAGTCCTTTTTATAAAAAAAGTAGTCTGTTTTCTATGCGCCTTTTACACACTGCGTTGAGGCACATTGCATAAACATATTACACCACAGTGCATCATGGCATGCTACAGTATATAGAGTTGAATGAAATGTAATTTTGTACATAAAGAAAAAAAACTGCAATGCATTGTAACAACGCAATGCACCAGCCTTCACACCATGCAGATGCGCACGTTTCCGGACCAGGTTGTAATCTAATTAGTGGCTGCCAGAAACCTCTTAGTTCTGACTTTTTTGTATTTAACATCATGCTTTGTGTATGAATAGTGACAGTAATGATCTTGAAGAAAATATTTTGTCAGAAGCATCTGTTGTCTTAAGGTGGCCACACACCTTGCGATAATCGTACGATAATAGCGGGAAATCGTGTGTGGAAGGCGTTCAACCGTTTCTACAGTACGGTCGCACGACTTTTATCTTAGGAACATGTTTGAAAACCCGCCGAGAATCGTATGATTGTCGGCAGGTGTGTGGCATGTTCGTAAGATAAATGCCGCACGGGCCGCTGTGCACAAGTGCACACTGCCCGTTCAGCATTGCGGTCATGGGAAGCCCGCCCCTCAGCAGGGCAGGCTAGCGATCATCGCAAGTACGATCTGTCTGTCCAAGATAGGCAAATCGTACGTTTTTTGAATTACCTTACAACCATCGCAAGACATAAGTCTTGCGATGGTTGTAAGGTCTGTGGCCAGCATTAGGGTGGACTGATGGATCATGGTAATGTGTGGATAAAACACTTGCAGGTAGACTGTGCTACATGCAATTCAGTGCTGCTTAAAGTGTATGTAAAACCTTTTTTTTTTGTTCTAGTTTTGGATAGAGTGGGGATAGGTTAGAACTCCTGTTGGGTTTTTATTGATTCTCTATGTCCTAGTGACCATTGTCAACAGGACAGAAAGCTAGGGAAAATACAACATTTTTCAGTTGTAAGCAGAACATGAGGTGAAGGGAAATCTTGCATTTGGCAAGCCTGTTCATGTGATAGTTTTACTTTTAGTTCAGCTTTAAAGGGTTTCTAAACCCTCGGGTGTTTTTGCATATATCTACTGCTAGCAAGCAGTAGATATATGGAAAAAGTAAAAAAAAACAAAACGCTTTAAAAGCGGTTTAAACGTACCGGTGTCTTCGCCGCACGCTCCTGTCCGAAAATACTCGGGCGGCTGCAAAGCATCTTGGGGCGGACGCATGTGCAGTTCGGATTTTTCGGCCGGGAGACGAGGAGAGACATAAGGTAAGTCTATGGACGCGTGCACCCGCATGCAGACACCATGGGACAGACATTGCCAGCAAGGACAGAGGAGTCAGCGCTGGATCGGAGACCCGCAGCAGCGCTGGAGAGAAGGCTGGAAAGGACAGGAAAGAAGATGATCGGATTAAGAAACATCATTTAAGGGAAGTGCTTTCATTAACATTGGGGGAGGGAAAAAACGTTTTTGCCTTTAATGTCACTTTATGTGTAACAATTTGTCCACAAAGTATGCAAGTTTCAGTTTATTTATTCTAGGGGATATCTAACATTTCCAGTTCCCTCCTAATAAAACTGGTATACCTATGACACATGCAATGTGATTAAACAACAATACCAGCCATACATTTGGCTGTTTTGTTGACAGTTTCTGATCTTTTTTATCAGTTTTTATTTACAGAAAATGTTTTAACTGTTTTTTACTTTGTAAAGACTAAATTATAAAATGTTGGAATACTGGTTAAAAAAAGCCTTCTGACTAGTACTGCATTTGCTTTGGTTAATGTCTACTGCAGCTGCAATGGTTTGGTTGCATGAATGTTACTGTGGTTTTAGAATAATGGAAAACTTGAAAATTGTTAAATGTGTGACCAGAATGCACAAGTCATTTTCAAAATTGTAATTGGGGAGATGTTGAATTTTTGTTTTTTTTAGAACTGACACTCCATTTTCACTGAAGTTATGAAAACCTACAAGCAGAAGGAGAAGCCAGGAAATAAGCCTCAGGAAAGTATCAAGGCACCAGATGAAGCAAAGATCAAGGTAATCATTTTGTTTCAGCGTATTGTTACCAGAGAATAGTTTTTATTTCTATGCATATTGTATTTAAAGACAAAAGTTTATATGAAGAGTTTATCATGTACAGGTCACTAACATATAAAAGTAGTTTAGTAAATCCTTTACACTGTTACACTGGATTTTGGAATCCTGCCCACTGCATAGTTTAAAAGTAATTATGATTTCCTGCATACCATAGAAAAATAATTTGGTCTTATGGAGGTGACTTAACCAAATGCTCCTATACAAAAGTCGTTAGGTATGAAACCTCTCCCTCTTGATAAGCCAAGAGAAAAATTAGTGACACTAAACTCCGGAGTTAAATCTTAAAAATACATTCAAGTACCTTAACTATTAACTAAAATGTAGCTTATGTGTGTATCACTCAGCTGTAGATCCTCAAATCATCTCTGAATTGGTGCTGACATTGTCCTTTCTTTAGAGGGTGGCTACTTTTGTTCCCCATGGTCCTATGTGTGTTATAAAGTAGCCATCGATCAAAGCTCACTCCCGTGATGGACTAAAATCTTTCATTTAGTTTACTAACTTGTATTGAGATTGTAGTCGATCATGGGAGTGAGCTTGGAGCAGTGGCTACAACACACACGGGGACCATGGGGAACAAATATAGCCACCCTGCAGAAGGAAGGACAGTGTCAGCACCAATGAGATGATTTGAGGATCTACAGCCGAGTGATACAGAAATATAAATTTTTGTTAATAGTTAAGGTACTTGAATGCATTTTTAAGATTTAACTCCTAAATTTAGTGTTGCTTTAATCAGCCAGTGCCTCAGTGCTTGTGATAGTGATTCCTGGCTGATCAAATGCGTTCCAGTGATTTAAATTCTGGACTGACCCTTGGCTACATTTCTCGGATTAACGCTTGTTTGCTACCTGTCCTGTCCCTTGGTTACGTTTTCAGGATACTCCTTTGTATGCTGCAGGCCCTGACCTTTTGATACGTTTCCTGGATTCCTCTCCAATACTTCAACTCTCACTTTCCACTGCCCTATGCTACGTTTACTCTACGGGTTCATTCCCTTTCAGGAGATCACTGGGAGGAGGTGGTTGTGACGTACGCCCTGCCTGAACCCGATATACGTCAATCACACGTGACTATAAAAGCAGGTTTGAACCGAGCGAGCCGTCACAAAGAAGTGGCGGGCGATACCACTCTCAGCCTCACCCTGCTCAGAGATTTCCCAGCTTGCGAACATCAATTTCAGTCCAACAGACAGAGCAATCGTCACTAGGGTTGGTTAACTCGACGGTTAACCCTTTACACTCCAAACATTCGCTGTCACCACGTGTTTAACGGAAGCACGCACCAGTCCCAGCAAGTGCTGTGACAATTCAAAACACTTAAACAAAGCCTATGATACCGCTGTCCTCTCAGACAAGAATATGACAGGATTCACTATATAGCAGCGCTCTTCACAGAGGCAAGGATACTTTAAGTTCTTATTTAGAGCGTAGAGATAAGCTTAATGACTTTTAAGATCGTCCTTTAATAAAAGAAACAATGCAGAAAAACATACAGAAAACAAAATTAATAAAGAGAAACAAAATATATAACAACTGTAAAAAAAAAAAAAGGGAATAAAAGGAGAATACTTTAACAGTCCTGGGTTTATGAGTTCTAATAGAGTCCATTGTTCACTAAGCAAAAGAGAGGTCTGAGTGGCTCTTCTCCATGCAAGGCTTGCACAGATGATTTCCAGATATTAAAGGGAAACTCTTCTGGAATTTTACAAACTTCTTGATGTTGCAGGAGTTAGTTTTCTTGATGTTACAAACAAGAGCCTCTTACAGCTGCTTCTGTAGCATATTTTTGTCAGCCCACTAGGGGGTGTCACGGATCTTGTAAGTATTTACAATATCCTCTGCTCCTCCCAAGCTGCTAAATTCATAACTAAGAGAATAATTGAATATTCCTATGCAATACTGTCCGACAACCCCTAAATTATAGTGTGTATGAAAGTAGCTTTAGATTGAGACCAAACTTGGCGATGATATGAAAGATGGTTGGGCCAAGAGGGCCAATGTCGCCTGTCGGGCCCCAGAGCATCATAATGGTCCCATTCTTGGTAGGTATGTTCTCGTCTTGACGAGACCCAGCTATTTGTGCCATTCATTTTACAGTATCATTCTCCAATTCCATGTTATGAAATTGAGTTGATATTGGAACTCAGTTTTATGACTTGAGTGTGACTCGGATGTCCCCTGGGTCATTATCCTTACCAGGCCCTCCAGTGTTTATCTAAAGCTGTCAAATGCTAATTTATTAGGGGATTAGCTGAGCTGGGCAAAGCCATTACCATGCTATTAGGAATTTACGATACCGCTCATAAAGGTATCACTTAGTCCCCGTTCACACTGAGCGGTCTATCGCGCGAATTTCCGCGCGATATCGCTCTATGTAGTTAGTCCAATGCATTTCAATGGAGCTGTTCACATCTTACAGCTCAATGTTGCCTGTAGCTCGTGGCGTGTACATGACCCCTTTTTGCGCAGATGTTGCACGATTTTGCTCTTGATTGCTTACAGCCCAATACGAAAAGTCGTGCGACGTAGCGCGACAAGTCGCAAAATATTGCGCATATGACAGTCGTGCGGAAAAACGCGCGATTATCCATGTCGCTCAGTGTGAATGAGGACTTAAGCTGATCCACACCAGGTCTAGGGGAAACTCTAGATAAACCATTAGGTTTTAGTGCTTCACTTAAGAACTATAAAGATCACAGGCCCAGACTAGCAGATATGCTGGAATTTGAAGAGGCCTGGCAAACTGAACTAAACTAAAAGTTGCATTTGCTTTAAACTGGGGGGCAAGAGAATTTCATATTTAATATTAATAGGCACAAACCTCATTATCATCACAGTGGTCAGCTCTTTCCTTGGCACAGTAATAACTTGTAGATACAACTCCTACAGATTTGTTTGCTACACTTCATGTATCAAAAAGTGTAGAACCAGCACACAATGATCTTCCAAAGAAATTCAAACTTTATTCCACATGCATCCATAGAAAGAACAACCTCTGATGCGTTTCTGCCTTACTTGTCCTTGGTCATAGCTGGTTGTGAACTAACACCAACCCCACTAAAATAGCACTCCACACAGGGCGGGAGAAACACTTAGGAGCACCTGTATCTTATAAACAGTCCATGTGATTACATTAAAAACAAGGCAGAGGAAAAGAGGAGAGTACACACTTCAGAATTATGGGTGAACATCATCAAAATCAAACATTAAATAATAAAACCCATAATAACAGTGGGATACTAACATCAATATATTATATCAAATCACTAATTCTATAAAACTAGTGACCCACCGATAGTTAAGTCCCTGTGGAATCTAAAATTACAAATAAATAAGAAATCCACAGGGCTTCATAGTGCAACAGTTTTCTAGGCACATCATCTCCTTTAAAAATAGGAAGCACCCCTCCAAAAAAAAAACCCCAACAAACAAATGTTTCCACAATTCACTGGAAACTGGGGGAAAAAACACACACAAAAAAAACCGCACGGTACCTCAATTTTACATGCTTCCAAAAAAAGAAAGGGTTGAAAAGGAGGTTATGGCTGAACGTTACCTCTATGAATTCCTCCAAAGTTGGAAAACACAGAGGCTAGAATAAATAAATAAAATGTAAAAATTCATGTTTTCTCCATCCATGCTTCCACAACAAAGAAAGAGGGAAAAAAAAGGGGGGAAATAGACTACTGAAGGAGTGCTTCCCAATCCTATCTTGGAGGCGTTGTGTTATGGACATAACAATTTGAAAAACACATGCATTAGGCTAAGGCATCCACCAAGGCAACATAAGTATTAAAAGAAAATATTTCTTCTGGTGCCATGGAGCAGATCTATTTACTTGTAGTATACAATATAAAGTAAAGGAACTCTTGTGACAGTAAAATATCAACATCAGGGTACTCTGACGACAATCAATTATCTAAGATGTAAACTAATGTCCCACTGATGGTTAAGACCCTGTGGAATCTGAGTGTTTGTTTAACTTGAAGGACCTCACGTTGTAGCAGTTTCCTGTGGACATCTCCTCCTCTAGGACTACAGATTTGTTGGCTACACTTCATGCATCACACAGCTGTGCGACTTATACCATGTTTCCCCGAAAATAAGACACTGTCTTTTTTATTTTTTTTTCCTAAAAAAAACACACTAGGTCTTATTTTCGGGGATGTCTTATTTTAAATACTGTCACACACAGTGTCGCAATACCTGCAGGCTGCAGCTGTCCTGGAGATCTCCTTTCTGATGCCATCCACAGTTCTCTGTGGGATCCCCGCCAGGGAGCCACCTCTCTTGTCGCCAGGCTGGACTGCACGGACCTCCAGTCAGAAGTTCCCACAGTGACTGAGGCTTAGTCACCTCACCCCGACCCCACTGGCCATACTTCCTTGCCGCGCTGTGCTGCTGACTGCTGGGAAATGCAGTTTTCTGCCCGGCGGCAGCTCTCTAAGCAAAGGCAGACGGGTGTCTGCTTATTTCGTGACACGGACAGCATGCGGGAGCTGCGGCGCAGTGGTTAGTCCCCGCCATGACTCTGGTTGCTCTCTGGGCTGCCCCCACCCCCAAACTAGGTCTTACTTTTGGGGTAGGTCTTATTTTCGGGGAAACACGGTAGCATGAAAATGTAACTTGCATACACAAGCTTTAGGCCCCGTTCACACCAGCGCATTTTTTCCACACTAAAACGCATGCAAATCAAAATCTCAGGTATTCCTATGGGGGCTATTCAAACAAACGTGCTAAATCGCGTGTAAAAATACGCCCATTGTTTAAAATAGTCCATGAGCTTCTTTTGTGACACTTATCAGTTAATTTTGCTCCATAGACTGCAATGGAAACGCGCCGATCGGAGCCTTTTTTACGCTTTTTTGCTGAAAACAGCCTTAAAACACTCTTGCATATGAACAAAAAGCGCTGAAACGCTGCCACCCTAGTGTGAATGGGGCCTTAGTAAGAGCCACATTTTTATTTTTTGATGAATAAATCATACAATTAATTTCCTAAAATTTGGCTCTGATAAACATTTGTGATGCCGAGTGCATTTCGGGGGTGGTCAGTAAATTCCTTTAGGCTAATCTTAATTTTTCTTTTTTTCTTTTCAGAAATTATAGGACATTGCGTTCTACGTTTTTATCCTCAAAATCATAAAATCATTTTAGAAAACCCACCACTCTTGCTGCTTACACTGATCTGGAACTAATGAATGTAAACATAGCGCTGTGTACATTTGTGATTGCTGTGATTTAGTTATCACAGCAATCACAAGCTACAGAGCCATTTAGATCAGCTCTGTACATAGTTTCGGGCGCAGCAGCCGTCCGAGGGTCATTTCTGGAATTACGTCATTTCAGCAATAGGTGTCCAATAGGCGTTTTTTAAAATATAGCGGTAGTGCTCAAAAAGATTGGAAACTTGTTTCGTATTTTGTAAGTAACTTAGATTTTTTTTTTTATTGCATTGAAAATAAGGTTATTGTACAAACAGAGCCCACTAAGGGGAAAGTTTGTTTTTCTTGTTTTTCTCAGGAATTATTGGAAAGAACTGGATATAGTTTAGATGTGACAACTGGACAAAGAAAATATGGAGGTCCTCCTCCAGAATCTGTGGCCTCATGTGCACAGCCTGGCATTGGGACAGAGGTTTGTGCATAATTGCTTTCTCCTCCTTTATTACACACTTACATTCCAATGAAAAAAATACTTCCATTCTCATGTAATACTTTCACAGGTTTTTGTTGGCAAGATACCCAGAGATCTCTATGAGGATGAGTTGGTGCCTCTTTTTGAAAAAGCAGGGCCTATCTGGGATCTTCGACTTATGATGGATCCCTTGACTGGACAAAATAGAGGTTATGCCTTTATCACATTCTGCAATAAAGAAGGAGCACAAGAAGCGGTTAGGCTGGTAAGTGTTTGATATGAGCTCTTACTTTGGAGGTGAATATAAATTTAAAAACAAATCCTTACATTGAATGCGTCAATGCGTGAACATTTTTTATTAGACTCATACTGGATTATGTCGACAAAGGCATAGACTGAGCAAGTTGTCATCTTTAAAAACTCCATAGTAGTGCAGGCAACCCTAAGGATGAAAAACATTAAACGCTGTGTTTGGTCTTAGTGAATAGTGTTATGACCAAAAAAATTGATGTTTACCGAATTTTGAAGTAGATGTAAACTCGATCACTAAAATCTCGTATAAGCTGTAACATGTCAATGTAATTCTAAATGTAACGGTCAGCATTTTTAAATTTGCAGCTTTCATTAAAATAATATCTGGTGATCCTGCCATAAAGGTCCTTGTTCAGACACTTCCTGTTATAGGGCAACAACTGTTTTATGTGGGTCCTGGAGCAATGATGTGCAGCTGATGGAGTAAGTGCATGTAGACAGGAAGTGGCTGAAAAAGGTTGAAGATCAAAAAAGGTAAAAACGGCACAGTGGCGTAGTGGTTAGTGCTTCTGCCTTGTACCGCTGGGGGACTCTAGTTCTCCATGTGCTTGCATGGGTTTCCTCTGGGTACTCCGATTTCCTCCCACACTCCAAAGACATGCTGGAAGGTTAATTGGCTCCTGTCTAAATTGGCCCTGTATGTATACATGTAAGATAGGGACCTTAGATTGTAAGCTCCTTGAGAGGCAGGGACTGATGTAAATTTGCAGTATGTAAAGCTCTGTGTAAATTGTCAGCCCTATATAAATACCTGTAAAAAATAAATACACAAATAAAACTGCATATTTTTAAAATAAGTCACGCCAGTTGCATATGATACACAGTGCTTTAAAAAACAATACAAACTAGTTATTGTTTAGATCTTTTGAAGAATAATTCCACTTTTGTTGAGAAAAAAAATCAATCCTCTGGTTAATCTGTGCACGTTACAAGGATTTTCTTCGTTGCAGTTACCTACCTGTTTCTGTTCTGAAGAAGTAGCATGGGAGGGTCTAGGTTCATTATAATCAGCTGGTGGGCTTCCTGAGTTGTTATAGGGAAAGGTGCAGTATCTCCATCCCTTTAGTAGTAATTAACCAGTAGAAAGTATTTCACTATTGTCACCAAAAATTAAATTCCTATTGCAAGTGATACCAAAAATGATACTTGTATCTTCTGGGAAAATCAGTCAGCCAATTTCAGAAGCAGGAAGTGACATTTCTGGGAGCGCTCCATACACCAACTGTATCGAACGCCTCAATGTTACCGTATTGCATTTTTGACAGATTTGGAACATTACAGCAACTACAGTTTTAAGTGGAATGGTAATTTTTAATAACATCGAATTTAAAAAAAGACTTGTGCGACAATTAAAAATGCTATGTTAATTTTTTAATATTTTTTGTATTTTTAAAGTGAAATTACTCTTACGCTTTTTAAAAGCCCACATAATTCATTTTAAACATTATTTCTTTATCGTCAATAGAGGGACATTTTAAAACAGGTTATACTGCCGCATACAGGAGATTGGGACACTGAGAAACAAAAAACTTTACATTGTATTTCCACTTTTGCAATCAAATTTCAGAAAACCCCATATTTTTTCAAAATATGTCTTACATTTTAGTTATTTTGTTGCAGCAGACAACATGGCTGATTTCAAGGTTTTTCAAAGCACATCCACAGTGATCTGTCCTTAGAAAGATTTAGGGAATTTGAGGATTGTGTTTCTTCCTATTAACTTCATTAATACTTGAATAGAGAAGCCAGGTATTTAATAATTTAACCCCACACAGCATCTTCTAACATTACAAAGAAGGAGAAGCAAGTAGAAATGTTAACCCTTGAGGGGCCCAAAAACCCTAACCCGAGTAAAAAGCAATTTAAAATGCAAGAAGCATTTTCTAATATTTTTTTAAGCTTAAGTTATGTAAATGGGAACATGTAACACATTAAAAATAAGTGTTATCCCAATTTGGTTGTGAAAGTGGAAATACACTTTAATGCATCCCATGTAAGCCTGCTCAACCACCATGGCTCAATTTTTTGCGAGAGTCCTAGGATGTTGGATGCCTTTTCCTCTGCTTACAAAAAGTGTAACCATATTTGTCCTAGCTCCTTTATTTTTGTTAAGATTTCTTCCTATTTGATGTCAATCAAGATTCTTGATACACCTTAATGTTTTTCTTTTGGTGACTTAAATCAAGATTTCCGCTCCACTGCCTAAGCTAATGCTAACTTAGCAGCTATGCCTTATCCTCAGCCACAGTTTTGGAAGTTCTAACTGGGCCACGCTGGGCTGGAAGATTGCAGGTCTAGCCTGGAATGTGACCCATGGGCACTGGACTCTGCATTGTGGCACTCTCCAGACCTTTGCGTATTGTGTCAGTAAGCCACAGATTGCTTTCCAGGTCCAGAGTCGTGGCACACCTTCTGGTTTCACTCATATTGCTATTAAACCCAGCGGAAGCACCATCTTGCTGTTGCTCCCATATCTTTCTGTTACATCCCCTGTTTAAGCTATTACTCTATGACAAGTGAAAACTCCCTGTAGTTTCCTGGGCCCCTCCAGACAATGTGGTAGAGCCTCTGCCCTTTCAGAAGTGATTTATTCCTTGGTGTTCTCAGCCCAACATAGGTGCTCCAGTAATCCACGTTAACAGGCATACTACCAAACTGAAGTTTTAGGGCTGGAAGCCGATGGCCATCTTACTCTTGCCAGCCTATTGAGCTTGGGCAGAGACTTGGAGGGCCTCTCTGTCCTTGTCATTGGAAGAATTGCAACTTCTGATAAACATCTTGAAGTGACTTGGTTGTCTCTACAATGCAGGACACCTCAATTGCAGGGTCATCTGACCAAGATTCAGCTAAAAAAATGCAATGGCTGTTGCTTACATCAACCATAAAGGAGGCACCAGAAGTTGTGTGGTATGGAAAATTGGCAGTCGGATTACCTCAGTTTTCAGTGTCTGGATGTGTCGAGGCTCTCAGCACAGTTTCCCTGAATTTCCTGTACATTACAACATCCCAAGAACAGCACAATCTCCAGCAACTGTTCATCTTCTAGCTTAGAGAAGGCTTGAGGAAGGAGAGGGTGCTGGAGGGGAGTAGTTTGATTTGCTGTGTCTTTGTGTTTGTAGAGACACACACAGCTTACTAGCACACAGAAGGGTGGCTCCATAGAACTGTGATTGAGAAAGGAGCCAGCCAAAAACAGGATATCAGGGCTAGTGCTCAGGAGACAAGCTAATTCTGCAGGAAACTAAAACTTTTCAACATCAAACAAAAAGCCTCATCCATTGTAAGTGATTTAATCAGAATTTCCAATAGCTTAAAACCCTTATGAAGTTAATATCACTTTAAGGCTAGAAAGTCAACCTTCCAAAAGGTCTACCATCACACCTGGAAAGCACACTTTGTACGGTGTGAGATCACGAAGTTTCATCTTATGAAGTACTGCATGGGACATATTTTATCCTTTCTCCAGTCTGCCCTGAACCAGCATATTGCCTGGAGTACCATCAAGGTGATATCTGCTTTGGCAATCCTCTTTCACAGGCCACTTGCCACTCACATGTTGGTGAAGGCTTTTTTGCAGGGCGTGATACACCATGATTCCCCCTGTTCATGCTTCGGTGACTCTATGGGACCTCAGTCTGTTTCTGTTGGCCCTTCAGACACCACTCTTTGAACTGATAAGAGATTTTTCTCTGCCTTTATTTGCTTGCAAGGTGGCCCTCTTCATAGCCATCACTTCTGCTTGGTGTGTTTCTGAATTAGCAGCCTTGATATGCAAGGATCCCTTTCTGGTCATTTATAGGGATTAAAGGAGAACTATGAGGTGAGTGATTTTCACTCATCCTCATAATTAGAGCGACCTGTGACAAAGAAGCTTTCACAGGTCGGCTCTATCGATCAGGAAGTGGGCAGAAACATGCAGCTGATCCGCTCACTTCCCGATCGTCTCCCTGCAGTGAGTGGTGACTGTCCGTCACCGCTCGCAGCAGGGATTCCCTCTTCGATTGTCCAGTGCTGAGTGGAGGAACGAACAGGGTTGGGGGCGGGCACAGCTGGCTCAGCCTCTAAATAGGCAGAGCCAGCTGTCACTCACACAGCTAGTTGGATCTTGACAGTATTCTCAAGATCCGTCCAGGCTGCTGCGGAAGCAATAGCTCGCAATATACTGAGCTTTGGGTCACGGGAGGTTAGTATATATCCTCCCGTGACCATAAAGAGAACTATGGGGGAAAACACTTGCCCCATAGTTCTCTTTTAAGTTATGCTGAGGGCTAGGCCTGCTTTCTACCTAAATTGGTCTCTGCCTTCCACCTTAACCAGGGCATTGTGTCACCATCCTTGTGTCCTGCTCCTTAGCACCCTAAAGACATTTTCCTACACTGTTTTGATGTGATTCGGGTGGTCAAAGTTTACCTTTCTGCAACCTTTGCTGTTCACAAGTATGACTCCCATGTTTGTTATTTCTGACGGCTCCCATCAGAGACAACCAGCTTCCCACTGCAGTTCTATAAGCTTATGGTAAAAGTTCCTCCCTTTTTCCAGTCACGGCACACTTAACTGGAAATGTTAGCGCTTTTGGACTTTTCAGCATTAGGCTTCTATTTCCTTTATCTGTAAGGCCACCATCTGATCCTCAGTGCAAACGTTTGTCAGGTTCTACCAGGTGGAATTCAGGCCTCTGTGGATGCCATTTTTGGCGGAAAAGTCCTTCAGATAGCCCTGTAGTCTTGGGCATGACTCTGTTCTAGTTCTCTCTTCCTCTTTGGGGTTGTTGCCCATTGGGCCTGTTAGCCGTTGTTTTCTGTGTTGCCCACATTTTCTGTTGGACTGCTTTTGAACATCCCAGTGGTCTAAGAATTAACTCCTTTTGTCCTGTGATGTACGATCAAGAAAACAGGATTTTGTCTTACCTGTAACAGGAATCTCCCCTGTGTATTGTGATCCACTCTATACTGCTTTTTACAAAACCAGGGCAGACTGGGAGTGGGGGGAGAGGTTATGCACTTCTGTCCTGCAGCTTTGATTAATTTTCAAGTGTCCAATCACCTGAAAGGTAGCTGCATAACCCAGTGGATTAAGGATGAACTTCATGTATCTCAGAGTCTATTGAGGGACATAGCTCCCTCACCTCGTATGATATCCTTTTCTTTTTGGACTGTTTGCTACAACTGAGCAGGTGGGCTTTGTGGGGGATATAGACTCAAGAAAGGGGGCTGGCCTTCAGTTTCTATGAGCCTAATGTCCATTTATCCTGTAGGCAGCAGTATAACCCTAGATTGCTTAATTATCTTCAAAATGTGTTCCTCAAAGGGCTCTAAGAAAAGTATTTTTACTATGAGTACAAAAATCCTATTTTTGAATGTCTCTATTTAACTCTGTTATTTCTTTCTCTTTTCAGTGTGACAACTATGAACTACGCCCTGGAAAACACATTGGAGTGTGCATTTCTGTGGCAAATAACAGACTTTTTGTTGGATCAATACCCAAAAATAAGACAAAAGAAAATATTCAGGAGGAGTTTAGTAAAGTTACAGGTACTGTTTTTAAGGCAGGTTTCTTCTAACTAATACAATTTCAGTGCAGTGCATTTTTATCCTGCAGTAAACCCTCTTCCACTTAACTTGCACTTGGCTTCAGTGGGCAGGTTTTAAAGGTTTAGCACAGCATAACCACCTCAGTAGCAGCATGTTTCTTCATTTTCAAAAAATAATGTGGCAACAAATATTACCTTGAAGTGGCCACTTTCCAAAAAGTGGTCTATTTGGGATGTTTGTAACGCCCTGGCATTTTTATTTTAGTCCACCCCCCCCCTTTTATATAGCAAAAATCAGTGGCTATTACATACCACCAAAGGAAAGCTTTATTCCTTGAAAAAAAAAAGTATGAAATTCATATGTGTACAGTATGTATCACCGAGTAATTGTCAGTCAAAACTGATAAGTGGCCTGGAAAGCAAGGGGGTATAACATGCTGGTATTGAGGTGGTTAACATATAACCAGTTAAAAGATAACTCCTTGATTGCCCCAATAAAAAATAAATTACTTAATCATACTTTACAGGATAGCAGGAGCATACGGTTATGCTGCTGCCTTCAGGAGACTGGACAGTAGCAAAGCAAAGCTGTAAGGACATACCACTATAACCCTTCCAGCTCCCAGCAAACCTCAGTTTTGCTAGCTTGCTCTATGAGCAGACCTCCTATGAGAGAAGCTACCCATTTTTTTTTCTTTTATCTAGATTATTTTTTTCTAGCAAGTTTCTTCAGTATTGGCATAGCTTCTCGGGCTTCTGTTTGCAGCTTTCCTGATCAGCTAGTCCTCGGCATTGCCCCGGAGGCAGTACCTGGATCCCACTGTAAACATCAGGTGCCAGTCTGTAATGTTTTTCCTTAGCACTAAACTCTGCTTTCAGGCGTGTAACGTGATGAGTTAGCCACAGAGTGCTTTACAGGTCCAGGGCTGAAGTACAACAGCCTGGGGGAATCTGCTTCTCAAATTTTCAAGGCTGCCACGCCGTCTTTTCACATGTTCTTTAGGTTTTCCCAAGTGGATGTTCAGGCCTTATCTGATAACGGCTTTGCTTGTAGGGATTCTTCAGGAAGCTCTGTAGGTTCATTTTGAACCTTCTCTGGTATCCTGTTTGTAGTTTTCTGTGGTCCTGTTAAGGTACATATAGAGTTACAATTCTCCCCTTCTAACATGAATAGGTTAAATGATCCATAGCACACACTTCCAGTACACTGCAGCAATAGAGTTACAATTCTGCCCTGCTAACATGAATAGGTTAAATGATCCCAGAGGCAGATGCATGATCGGATTTGTAGTTTCATAACAGCTGCGTGTAAGCAAATACAAATGTTTTATTTTTCTAAAACAATCTTAAATTAAAGTTCTTCATAATCATAAAGAAATTGGCCTAAAATCATTAGTCTGTATTGTTTTTTAAATGTCACCTGTCCCTTTAAGAAAAGGTATCGGTAATTGGTATCAGCAAGTACACGAGGGGAAGTACTTGTACTTGGTCCTGAAAAAGTGGTATTGAACATCCCTAATAGTAAGTAATTACTATGTCCCCAGTTATAAATGAACAGAAAGTGCTATACATCACTCCTCAGTTTATGAATGGACAAGAGCAGCTCAGTACAAAGGCTACTTGTCTATTCATAGCTGGGGGATAGTAAATAATTATTATCTTCTTAGTTTGTGAATGAACAGGAAGCTGTTGTACTATGTGCTTCCTGTTCATTGAGTGCTGGGGCTGCAGAGGAGGAGATTGAGGACTTTTCTTTTTCAAAAGGAAAATATCAGGGGTCTGTTTAGACCCTTGATATATGCCCAATGCTCCCAACAGTGCTCCCAACAGTAAACCTAAATAGATAAATACGAAATAAATAAATACAATAGTAAAACATTGTTAAAAATTATATAAAGCGCACACACCATACACGTGCAACATACATGTGCACCATATTGTGTTGGTTATGCACATGCGCTGCAGCGCAATGTCAGAACACACCAGAGTGCTTGATTAATTCAACTGCATGCTGGTGCATAGCAAAGCATTGTGCATTTTTATATGCTGTGTTACAATTAAATGTATGCCTGCATCATTTTATAACAAAACACACCAACACAGTGCACACACAGCACTGCAGACCAGGTGTTACCATAACACAGATTTTTACAAAAAGTTGCTTATGTGCAGTTTTGTGTAACTTAATTTTTTACCGTTTCACAAAAAGGCACAATTTAAAATTTACAAATATTTGCTATTTATTTACGCAATACAGTTTTATCTTTTGGATTTAGTAGGATTGTTTGTGTGTGCTGATGATTTTAGTGTATTTTTTTTTATCAAGAGTATTGAACATTTGTGCAACTGTACTACAAAATTAGTAGCACTATCTTTTTATTGTACCGGTCCTGTGCTTGCAGAAAATGTATGGTTGGGGGGGCTTTTTTAAAGTTAAAAATTACAAAAATGGTCTAGCCGTGTGAGGTAAAAAGTGGAACGCAGAGAAAGGGTTACGGTTACTACTGATAAAAAAAAAAAATAGAGAATCTTTCTTAACCCTTTAATCGGTAGCTGGTTTGGCTCTTCAACCATTATTGACTTCGGTTTTTATTTCCCAGACTTTGCCTACTTGGACAAAATCTTTAAGTACAGAACAGGCGACTGCTGGAGTTGATCCACACTTTATTGATTTGTGTGGATCAGATGACTGTTGCTTCTCATTTCATATGTGAGGCAGTGCTTGTCGTCGGTTGTCTCGTATGTCTGTCTCTTCCATTCAGATATGCAGATCTATCAGGTTTAAATGCTGGTTGACAAAATCCTAATGCAAACATTCACTTGCAATTACCCTGCATGAGAGGTCGTCTTTTTTTAAGCTACTTTGGATTACATTATTTAAATAGCTACGGTAGGTAAAAGTGAACACTTACCTCAAATGTGGAAAATAGGGAACAGCGTTGTAAGCCTGTTCCCTCTTTTCTGTCATTTATACATTTCTCTGCAATGGTCTCTCTATCCATAGGTGTTTCCACAACTTTGTCACCACTTGGGAACGCCGGATGTGGATCTTCTGGCTTCTCACAACAAGAAGGTGGACAGATTTGTGTATAGAGTGAGGAATCCAATGGCGGATGCCTTAGTATCTCCGTGGGATTAGTACACATTATTGTATGTCTTTCCTCCACTAATGCTATTGCCATGCCTGCTTCACAGGATAGAACATGGAGGAATTCCAGTCTCATTGCTCCAGATTTGCCTCGCAGGGTGTGGTATGCCAATTTGTTTAGTCTCTTGGCAGACGATCCCTGGCTTCTTCCAGATCAGATTTATCCTGGAAGATCCTGCTTCTCGGTCACTGGCCTGGCTGTTGAAACCCAAGTGATGGAAGACAAAGGAATTTCAGATTCTGTTATTCCATCTATGCTTAAGGCTCATAGATCTTCTACTAGTAAGATTTATCACCATACGTGGAAGGTTTATATTTGTTGGTGTGAGTCCTTGGAGTTTTCCCCATGTGCTTTGTTGCGAATTTTGTCTTTCCTTCAACTTGTGGCAGATCAACGTTTACCATAAAAGGTCAGATATCTGCCTTGTTGGTCCTTTTTAACATCCTCTTGCTTCTAATTCCCTAATTCGTTATTTTATTCAGGAAGTCTCACGTATGACTCCTCCTGTTAGGTCTCCACTTCCTCTATGGGATTTGAACTTGGTTCTATCAGTTCTACAAAAACCTCCTTTTGAACCTATCCAAGTAATTTCTTTGTCTTTGTTATTCAAAAAGGTTGCCTTTCTTGTATCCATTACCTTGGCTAGAATGGTTTCCGCGTTGTCTGCTTTGTTTTGTGGAGAACCCTATATGCTTCTTCATAAGGACAAGGTTGTTTTAAGACCGCAGGTTTCTTTTTTACCCAAGGTGGTTTCAGCCATTCATTTAAATGAAGAAATTGTTTTACCTTCACTTTGTCCAGCTCCTTTTCCTCCTAAGTAAAGTTCTCTTCATTGTTTTAATGTTGCGTGGCCTGTTTGAGTTTATCTGTCAGCCTTTATCTGTCAGCCATAGCTCCTTTTAGGCTTTTGGATTATTTATTTGTTTCCTAATTTTCCTGTTTCTGCTAAGGCAGTTAGTACTTCTTGAGCATTTCAGAATCAGACTTCTGTTACTCTAATTGCAAACCACAACTTGGTTCACACTTTTGCTAAGTTTTCTAAAGTTGATAGTTCTTTCTCTTTTGATGGCAGAAAAGATTTTCAGGTGGCTGTTTGAGTATTTGAACTGGTCCTTCTAGTTTGTATAGTGCTTGCCCCTCTGTTTTGGACTGCTTTTGAAGATCCCTACATCACAGAATTCTTCAGAGCTATGTCCCTCAATAGACGATAGAGATAATAGGATTTTGTTCTTATTGTAAAATCCTTTTCTTGGAGTCCAGTTAGGGACACTCTTCCCTCCCCTCATTTCCTTTCATACTGCTTGCTACAACTGGTAGGGGTGAGATGGTAGGGGCTATGTCCTTTAAAGTGGTAAGCTTTTAATTTTTTGGTCTAGTACCCATTACTCCTGGAAACAGTAGCATACCCTACATTTCAGAATTCTTTAGAGCTGTGTCCCTCAATGGACTCTGAGAAAATGATGTTATGGTAAGAACAAAATCCTATTTTTTTACATTAGGGGACACAGGCCCCTCCCCTGTGTTCTTGTGATCCATTCATATTGCTTGCTACAAATCTGAGCCTTGCTGGGAGTAGTAGGGGTTATACTGGGCTGTACTTCAGCTTTGCTGTGTCAGTGTCCAGTCTCCTGAAGGCGGCAGGAGCATAACCCTGTGTTCCTGAATACTCTCCTGTGTCCTGTAATGTACTCCAAGGAAAGAATGTTCCTGGTAAGTCAAAATTCTTATTTTTTTATTTCTGTTACTGTTAGTGAGAGCTACCCTTACTTCCGGTCCTGGGGAAAACCTTTTTTTTTTACCAGACAGGAAGTCTTGCCAAGCATTCTAATCCTTCCCCACTCTATCCAAAACAGAAAAAAAAGTTTTGGGTATAGACAGATTTTAATAAGCAGTATTCATGTTTTGTATTTTCTGCTGTGTTGCTGTTTTCCAATAGCCATTTACATTTTGTTGTGTAAATTTTAGAGGGCCTGGTGGATGTAATACTCTATCATCAACCGGATGACAAGAAAAAGAACCGTGGCTTTTGTTTTCTGGAGTATGAAGACCACAAGAATGCAGCTCAAGCCAGACGCAGGTTAATGAGTGGAAAGGTGAAGGTTTGGGGGAATGCTGTCACTGTAGAGTGGGCAGATCCTGTGGAGGAGCCAGATGCTGAGATCATGGCAAAGGTGAGAAGCTAAATGAAAAACTACTTTGCACTTATCTTCAGAAGACCTAATGTTGATAATACATAAAATATAAAAGTGTTAGAAAACAAATCAATTATGGAACGATTTCACAAATTCATTAGCAGTAAGTTAGTCTTCTAAGATATGGCTGTTGCTGTTACTTCACCGTGACCTATGAGACTCTGGGACTCCTATGTCTTCCAGCCACAGGTGAGAGAATGCCTGTGAGTGCTGCCTTCTCTTTATTTGTCACTATGTGCTCCACAATATGGCACGGAGCACATGGCAGGGGCTAATGAGATGGCAGCACTTACAGGCATTCTGAAACGGGGCTCTCTTTTCATAGATCTGGGTGGAGTAACAGCAACAGTCCTAGCTTGGACTAATGTACAGCTAAAGACAAACCTAAATATCATATATAGGTGTGAAATCTGTATTTGTTTGCATGGGATGGATATTCAACTGTTAAAACCTCTATTTCTTTTGACCTAGTATTCTATTGTCGTTTTATATAGCTCAATTTTCTGCTCTCCTCAGTAGGCACCTCAGAGAACCTAGCAATTTTCCCATGAAGCTTGTGGCATTTTAAGGGATAATAACCTGTTTTTTTGTCTAGTTTTTTAATATTCATGCATCACTTTGGTGTCCTTCATTTAAAAGAATATATAATCCTAAATCATGTTTTTTAGGTCAAAGTACTTTTTGTGAGAAACCTGTCTTCCACAGTAACTGAGGAAATCCTTGAGAAGGCTTTTTCAGTGTTTGGGAAGCTGGAGCGGGTGAAGAAGTTAAAGGATTATGCGTTTGTACACTTTGAGGAGAGAGACTCTGCAGTCAGGGTGAGACCATTTAATGATTTACAGATACCAAACTGGTAAGAATGATAATGGAGCAATTCTGTATTTTTAGACTTGAGTTTTGTGTCCTCTGTGCAAGGGCATACATTAACTACAGCAACTTATCCTTTTTTCCATAATTACATTATATAATTTAGTGGTAATCCTTTACAAACCGTATATGTAGCTGTTTCTTTAAAATAATGCAAACAGTTGCATTGTGACCCTTTACAGGCTTCATGTTTATGTTTATTGCTGACATCTGAAGTGGAAATCATTTTACAGTAAACAGGGATGAATATGGGAGTAAAGATCTTGAAAGTGGATGCAGCAAAACCAGTTCTTCTTTTGTAGAATTATCTTGCTGATTTGTTCTGCCATAGACAAGCAGGACATTGCTTTCAACATTTTTTATTTAGTCTGGTGGTTTTACTTTGGTGCCATTCCCATCTATCACATTACATAATGTTAGGTTTGCTTTTTTGCTTGTGGATATTCAGTCCTGTTAATTTCCATAAAAGGCCATGGATGAAATGAATGGAACGGACTTGGAAGGGGAAGACATTGAAATAGTATTGGCAAAACCCCCAGACAAGAAGAGAAAAGAGCGGCAGGCAGCTCGACAAGCTTCTCGCGGTCCAATGTGAGTATATTGTATGTTTCTTTCCTTGAAATTTCAAAATTATATTCTGCTTTGAGAGCTTGGCCACACCATGTCCAGACCAGATCTGGATGTGTTTCTGCAAACGCGGTGCAGTGTGTTTTTGACAAGTTCTGGTGCAGTTATCTATTTATTTTTTTGCTTAAAATGGTTTTTTAGGTGCAGTCCAGTGTTTTCCAGTGTGTTTGCATGCCCTTTTGATGCATTTACATGCGTTTTTGGTGCGTTACAGACCAGAAAAAAATAGTGAATGCAGCATTTTTTCCCCCTACACCGGAACGGACTTCACTGGTGTGAGCAGAGCCCAGAAATGTCATAGGAATACATTGGGATGCATTTCAGGTGCAGACAAAATGTTCTGGTCCGGACATGGTGTGAACAAGCCCTAAAGCATGCACATTTCCCATGTTTTATCCCTTTAAACACACTGCAAGTACAGAAAGTAAACTGTTGAAGTGCCAGAAATATGCATTTCTACCATCTTCTTTGACATGACAGTGTATTTTTGTCTCTGAATTCTTTAATAGGTGTTGTCAACCTTGCCCATTTAATTTCTGATGGATTACAAAGAACACAGAGTCTTCTTCTCCCATCCCCATCTCCATTGCCCCTCCTTGTGCACAGGAATATCAGCTCACAAGATTTCTGTCAAAATCATCTGTATTTATTGCACTTAAAAATAGATAGATAGATAGATATTGAGTAGGTCCCCAAAAAAAATTGCAGCCAAAATAGCTTTGACCTGTCGAGGCTTGCATTCCACTAGACCTCTGAAGGTATTCTGTGGTATCTGGCTCCAAGCCGTCGGTAGCATATCCCTTTAAAGAGGAACTTATCTTCAAAGTAGCAACAAATGTACCTTTAGAAATGTTTAGCAATCACAATCTACAAGTGGATACTAATAGATAATTGCAGGCTTTTTATTATTTGCATACCATATTTTTCTTTTCTTCCCCAGTCTTCTCACAGTGACCATTTAACTAAGGGCAGGTTACTGGAGCTCCCTTTACTTCCTGGAACTCTGGCACATGTGACTTGGACATGTGACAATGCACATCATCTCAGGGGTGGAAAATTCCTTTCCCTGAAATCGTGAGATTACAGATGAGATTTCCCAGCAATGCTCTCCTGATATCACCTTCCCAGGATGCAATGCTTGGGCACGATTACATCATTTGTGCCAAAGTGGACCAGGAAGTGGAAAAAATAAATTGTAAGTAAAATAAAAATGTTTGTTTAGCTAATGAATTTAAGATGCTTTCATATCACCATGCAGAGCTGTATGCTACTGTGAATTTTTTTGTCAAAAGGGGTAAAGCTCCACTTTAAGTCCTGTAAGTGGCAAGGTGGGGCCTCCATGGATAAGACATGTTTTTCCAGCACATCCCACAGATGCTCAATTGGATTGAGATGTGGAGAATTTGCAGGCCATGTCAACACATTCTTGAACCTTTTTTGCAGTCTTGTCAGGGAGCATTATCCTGCTGAAAGAGGCCACTGCCATCAGGGTATACCATTTCCATGAAGGGGTGTACTTGGTCAGCAATGATGTTTAGGTAGGTGGTATGTATCAAAAGTAACATCCACATGACACGATCAGATTTCCCAGTAGAACATTGCCCAAAGCATTACACTGCCTCCACTGGTGTGCCTTCTTGCCACAATAGCTGCAGTTTTGGAGTTGCTCTGACCCAGTCGTCTAGCCATTACAATTTTTCCCTTGTCAAAGTGCTTTCCAAGACATCAACTTCAGGGACAGAATGTTTACTTCCTCTTACTGCCACTTATAGCCCTGCCACTTTCAGCTGCCATTGTAATCAATGTCCTCTTCACTTCTCAGTGGCTATGATGTTATAGTTTTTTTTAAACAGGGTTTCTTCTTTAAAGTAAACAAAAATTGGAAGAGACGGAAGCGCCACTACCTGGCGCAATAAATGTGGTTCGGTGTGGCAGGAAAGAAAGGTAATGGTCTCACCTGTAGAAGTGTAGTGGCGCTTCCGTCTCTTCCAATTTTTGTTTACAGTACACACGTCGGACGCCCCGGTCCGAACTCAACGGAAGCTGCACACCCGCATCAATCTTGGAAACCCACCCCCTCCCCCCGTTTCAAATTCTATCCCTAAACTCAAATTCATTCTCTAAACTCTCCCCCCCCTTTCGTTCCGATCGGTGCTCCTACGCATCATCACACTGATTATCCTTTTCCTTTCCCCCACCGACCCCCTGACGAGCGCTTCACGCGGGACAACACTCTTCTAATTTTTCATTTCTTCTTTAAAGTGACTAAAATAAAAATGGTGAAAAATGTGCCCCTGCAAAGAAGATATTTAATACTAACCTCATCTGCTAAACACTGCTGTGTGGCAGAGAAAGAAGTCTTCGGATTTATGTGGTTACTTCCTCTGCCCCTACATAACTTTTTTGTTCTGTAGTGACATAAGGGTAGGCCAGAGGAAGTATAGTGTGCAGTGGCCCACCAGACACCAGCAGTGATCAGTTGGGCAGGTAGCAGGAGTAGTGAGTAATAAGTATCTTTCTTTTACATGGGACACATTTTTGGCCATTTGTTTTATTTTTATTTTTTAAGTTCATTTAGAAATTCTAATACAGTCAGGTTATACTTCTGCCTTGAGGAGGTTGGGACACTGGCAAACAGAAAAAGTTTTAAGCCAGCCTCTCCTTTACCCTGCCGGCCTGTTTTTTTGCTAGTGTCCTAGGAGGTTTTATGCCTTTTCTTCAGCTCCACTGAAATAAGTCTAACTACTCTTTTTGCTAGCTTTCTATTTTTGAAATATTTTTCTCAGTCTTTTTTACTCACATTTTGGTAATTTGTTTTTACCATCTTTTTGTGTGCATTATTGGCTGGTTCTTCATTTCTCATTGGCAGGGGCCCATTGCTACAGTCAGTAGTTTGCCCTTGGTGGTGTTTTTCTCCTGCCATGCTCTGGAATACCATGTTGATCCTCTGTTTTTTCCATTGGTCATTAGTTTCTCTGTCTTGCAGAGGGCTTCTCTTCACCTGCCCTTAAATCAGAAGTTGGTTCCTTCAGATACCTCTAACATGCACTGTCCTATAAATCTTATTAGAACTCTGTCTTCTCAGATACCTCTGACATGCATAGTCCTGTAATTTCTATTGGACCTAACAGTGGCTGTTGCCCAACTCTGGGTTTTGGATGTCCCAACTGTATTAGAATTCTCTCTGGTGTCACCCAGTCTCTGACAACACTGGGAGGTACTCTGTTTATTAGATCTGTTGAACACTAAGGAATTGAGTGTTGTCTCACTAGAGGGAGTGTCATGTGCACACACTCCTTACTCTGTTCTAGCCATTCAGCATGAGGTTGCACCTTCCAGGCTCTGCTACTTATCACAAGACACACACGGTTTCACCTTGGTTAGTCTTTGCTGCCACGCACAGTGACAAGGTAACCACTTGAACCTTTTTCTGTTCCAAGCAGTCAGTTCATAAATGTTTAAGATGTTTACCTTTTATATTTGAGCTAATTTGTTCATGTTTGCAGGACATGTTGGATCACAAACACAAGTGGAGCAGTCTTGCTGTATTGGAACTCTAAAGCTCACAATGATGACACTGATAGTTCAGGGGTGGCATGCAGTGTTCCTTCTTGCAAGGAAATCCTTCGAATTCCTCTTTGGCTCTGTCTGGTGGAGCCCCCCTCCTTGGGTTTAACCTAGGAGGATTTTACTGCAGTTATGCTGAATTTTATGGACCAAAATTCAATGTTTGCTCCTTCCACAGAGGATATAACCTACCTCAGCTTCTTCCCCTGCAGACTCATTATCTGATCTGCCTGCAAGCCTTAGCAGCCCCTGAGCCTTCTTTTCACATCTTCTTACCAGATGCAGTTGTTTCTCAGGAGTCGCAGGCAGCTGCCATAACACCCAGGCTTAGAAGGATTCTTATTTATGTGGTGCGTGCTAACGTAACCCTTTTGCTGCCAGCGACGTATGCCATACTTCGCTGACAGCGGGCCCCTCTAAAGAGACTCTGTTCAGCTGTGTAAAGCTGACAGTCGGCTTTAAGCTGGAAGCAATTCTGGTGGTGGGAAGCAATTCCAGCTGTGGTGGAACTACAAATCCCATGAGGCATTGCATGATTCTCACAGCCACAGACGTGACTCCCGGAGAGAACTGCATCATGGGAGTTGTAGTTTCACCACAGCTGGAGGGCCGGAGTTTGGTTACCCCTGCTGTAGAGGATGCAATACAGCAAAAGAAGACTAGGACCCAGGCTGAGAAGAATCTCCTCTCCTCTGAGGCAAAAAAAGAGTTATTTTTGTTGATCCTAGGCCACAACCTTCAGCTTTTTCCGCATCAGGCAACTGTTTTTCTGGTTTGCAATGCTGCCACCAAGGCTCCTGTTTACTTGTTCTCTTAAGTTTTAGCAGATGGATGCTTAAGCTTCTTTAGATGCCAGTTATGGGCATAAGGTCCTTCAGGCGACTCTTTTGAGTTGCAGGCAGTCCCCAGCTTGTTTAAAGTTGGGCTTGTTAGCGTTTTGTTTGCTGTGTTGCCCACCCCTCAGATGGACTGCTTTTGGACGTCCCAAATGTCTCCTGTGTGTGTTCTATGTCCCTCAATGAACCAAAAAGAAAGAATTTTTGTACTAACCATAAAAGTGCATTGAGGGACACAGGTCCCACCACTTTCTGTTTATGGTATTGCTCCCACCACTACTTTGTTTAAAAATTGAGGCATGCTGGAACTTGGAGGGGATACTCCATGCTGATCAAATTTTTTGTTTGCCAGTATCCAAATTCTCCTGTAGGAGCAGGGGTTTGGAATTCCTTTCGCCTGATGCCCGGGACATGTAGTTCCGGGTGCCAGGCGAGCTAGTTTTTTTTCCCTACATTTAGCACTGCTTCGGGCAAGCAGCAGGGCTAAATATAGAGGGGGAGACATTTTGTACAAGTCATCTGTACAGCCGTCTAAGATCACTTGTACGCAGCCTAATTGTCACTCCCCCTCCCCGGCCGCTGCCTCTCTGCCCTCCACCTCTGTTGCCTCGCTTCTCCTCTCTCTGTGGCTGCTGCCTCTCTCTGGCCGCCTCTGTCCCCGCCCGCTGGCTCCCTCCCCGCCGTGGTCTTCAGGGTCCCCCGCTCTTCTAGGGGACCCGAGACCACGGCAAATTAGATAAGGTTGGGGAGCAGAGCGGTTCTTCCTGTCCGCCAGTACCTGTGCCATGTATTCTCAAGTTCACTTGCAAATTGCAAGCACTCGTTGGTCAGCACGGTCACCGCTATGAGAAGCGCTTCTTAGCACTGCTAAATTCAGTTTTGGTTAAAATAATTTTTTTGTATCAGGACAAGTAGATTGTCATGAGGGACACGTAGATTGGGTCCCCGCATTAGTCCTCAGACAAGTAGTTTTTTTGGTTGAGAGGTGCATTTGAGGTGTCATTCAAATGAATGGCAACGCAATGCACCTTCCGCACCAGAACGCATAGTAGGTGCGGTTGCATGGCACAGGACTGTTCGATTACCGCACTATACTAGTGTGAACGTGCCCTCAAAAACACTGAGACACACACACACAACCACAGACACAATCTCACACACACATACACACTCAAATGTTTTCCTTCTTTTTAAGATCCACCCAGTCTCCCTTCCTTACGAGAACTGGAGTGGATCCTTAGCCTGGGGTCCAGTGTGGGCTGCTGTACTGTGGCAGATCTCCATCCATATATGCATTGCTTGTACAGCTCCCTTGCGCACCCTGTAGAGGTGCAGAAAACCAGAATGTGACGTCACTCCGGTCCAGGCACCTCTACAAGGCAATACAAAGGGAGCTGTAAGCAATGCATCTATGAATAGAGCTTCCTCGCGGCCACAGCTCCAGCCCATCCCACCTCAAACTGACACTCGGCACCGGGCAGCATATTTTGAATGGCTGCTTGGCGCGTGAACTGACAGTGCCGCGCTAGGGGGAGGCTAAGGCCTGGTTCACACCTATGCGTATTGTAATATGTGCGTCTGTCGCGCGACCGTCACGCGGTTTTTTTTACCGCGATTCGCGGTAAAAAGCAGCGCGACCGTCGCGCGATTCCAAAGGCTACTTGGCAGTATACTAATGGAAAACGCCCTACAAAACGGACCAATACGCAGCAAAAAACGCTCCGGGACCTTTTCATGCGTGGGCCGTTTTGTAGTGCGTTCGGGACGGGCGGAAATACGGACAGGTGGGAACGAGGCCATTGACTACAGTGCTATTTATTTTTTTGACCGTTTTGTAGAGCGTTCATCGAGCGTAGGACGCGCTACAAAACGGTCAGGTGTGAACCAGGCCTAAGAAGCCTCTCGCCTAGAAAAGTGGAAGGCACGTGGCAACTCACTGAACACAGGGTCGCAACCCACTTTTGGGTCACCACCCACCAGTTGAGAACTAAGGGAGTTGAGATCATGTAAAATAAACTTGTCTGTTTCCTCAAAGTTTGAAGATGTAGGTTAGATAATGGGAGATGTGTTTTGTATATCGGGAGTCCATTGTTGGAAGTGTTTACTATGAGGGTGTGCTTCTTGTAGAGAATTCTGGCCCTTTTCCAGTAACAAACGACCACCAGAAAGCTTGTCTGTTTTTGACTGCTTGTTACCTGCTGACTTGCCACGTGCAAATCACTTTATAAGTGTTTGCATAGCATTTGACTAGATGTAATTTTCACTACCACAGAAACCATACTAGAACACTTTTGTGTACAACTGTATCTGTTCACAATTTGAAAATTGGTTGAGTTTGCATCACATACATTTGGCTGTCGAACTGCTTAAAAAATGATCAGAAAACTCAGTGTGAATGAACCCTAACTGTGCTTAGAAATCCTTTGTTTAGCTTTGTTCTACTGCTCATATGCTTTTATTCAGACCAACCTATATAGCATTGCTCCCTGTAACCTGGAGCTGCTTGAATTCTCTGCATTATGTTGTTGATAGCTTTTAATCTAAAGGGACATGCAGAGAGCCTATTGTAATCTGTTGAAAATGCAAAAAAGCAGGAATAAATTGGAATGAAACATTAATAGATCTCACATTACATACATTATTGATCCTTCTCATTATGTAAACCCAGGAAAATAATGCAATCCTTGCATGACTAAAATTGTATCTCAACAGTTGTCAAGCATTAAAGTTGACTTAGGCTCAATCACATTCCGAGCTCCTTTTAATGCTTAACTACAATGTCTATATTAACCACTTCAAGCTATATACTGAGAGCACCGCAGCCGAGACGGATGCCGACAATATTGTCGAGATCCACCCAGCTGGCTGATTGACAGCGGGCTCTGCCTATCCTTCATTGTCACACGTCGGCTCTAACTATGAGGATAAGTGAAAATCACTCACCTCATAGTTCTCCTTTAAACATATAATGAATAAGTATGGTTGCCCCCATTTTATATTAATGATAACAAACTATTGGTAGAAACAACTTTGTGTGTGTGTAAAAGAGAGGGAGAAAGAGAGACAAAGCATGGTGTAGCTGTTGCTGAAGTAATGATATAGCTTTTTTTTCTGCTCTTGTATTTCTTTTGATTATAGTAAAAATGCTTGCTTGTGCTTATACTTGGTTTATATTCATAGGTATGATGATTTTTACTATTATCCCCCTCCTCGTATGCCTCCTCCAGGCAGGGGCAGGGGTCGTGGAGGCAGAGGTGGCTATGCTTATCCCCAAGATTACTATGGCTATGAAGACTACTATGATGATTATTATGCATTCGATTACCATGACTACCGCGGTGGATACGATGACCCATACTATGGTTATGATGATGCATACCCTATACGAGGGAGAGGCGGAAGAGGTGGTAGAGGTGCACCTCCACCACCTAGAGGTAGAGCAGCTCCACCCCAACGTGGAGGGCGTGCAAATTTTTTACAAAGGGGTTCTCCCATGGGCCCTCCTAGAGGATCCAGAGGTGGGCGTGGTGGGCCTTCTCAACAATCACAACGAGGTCGGAATTTACGTGGTAACCGTGGAAATAGAGGTGGGAATGTTGGTGGAAAAAGAAAGGCAGACGGGTATAGTCAGCCAGACTCCAAGCGCCGCCAGACCAACAATCAGAATTGGGGAAGTCAGCCTATAGCCCAGCAGCCACTGCAACAAGGTGGTGATTATAGTGGTAACTATGGTTACGGTAATGACAATCAGGAGTTTTATCAGGATTCTTATGGGCAGCAGTGGAAATAGGAAAAGCTAAAACCATACATTTTCATCTTTCAAACACCTACAATTATATATATATATATAT